GTCCTTATTTGGACTCACCCGAGCCGCCCAAGCGGCTCCCCTCTCCTCCGAGGGCCTGGGGAGGAGGCTCACTCAGGACAGGCGGCCGGTGGGAGGAGAGGAAGGGAGTGAGCCAGGTGGGCCCTGGGGGTGGGGGTGGGAGTGAAGAGGGCAGTGAGAGACGCAGATTGCTGCTCGGAGGGCCTGGACCCCCTGGAGAGGCAGGGCACCCCTGAGGTCCTACTGAGAACTTTCCATGGTCAAAGTCACACTTGTGGGGCACTGGAGCCGGCGCTCACACCCCACCTCAAAATAGCCAATCCTCTCCCTGCTGAGTTCAGCATTTCGGGTGGCCTCATAATCAGCCTGGGAGGGAATATTTATACCTGTCACCGGAAGACGCTCCAAAGCAAAGCATGTCTTTTCTCCCTGAGCCCATTGTTAATGCATCCCAGCATACCCTGCCCCGGCAGTAAATTCCCTTTTATTTTTATTTACTTATTTATTTATTTATTGAGACAGAGTTTTGCTCTTGTTGCCCAGGCTGGAGTGCAATGGCGCGATCTCCGCTCACTGCACCCTCCGCCTTCCGGGTTCAAGTGATTCTCCTGCCTCAGCCTCCCGAGTAGCTCAGACTACAGGCAGGCGCCACCACGCCCGGCTAATTTTTGTGTTTTTAGTAGAGACGGGGTTTCTCCATGTTGGTCAGGCTGGTCTCGAACTCCCGACCTCAGGTGATCCGCCTGCCTTGGCCTCCCAGAATGCTAGGATGACAGACGTGAGCCACCGCACCCGGCTGTAAGTTCCATGTTTACAGAATGACTCGGGATCAAGACCGTTCTATGAAAGGTGAGTTTCTGAAAAACAGAAACGGGCAATTCCCAAGAGTTTTATTAAGGGGAAAACACTCCATTTTGTTTAAGCAAGGACAAGAGATCTGACATGCCAGGAGCTTTCTGCCCCTCTGCGGATGGTTCAGTAGACCAGGCACTCCATAAAAGTCTCCCACGAGGCCCCCAGCCGCAGGCAGGTCCCCACTACCTGTCACTCTCACTGCTCAAGGCGGTGCCCGCTGGCTCCCTTGGGTGGGACTAAGGAAAGCACATTCCACTGGGCATTCTCTGAACAGAAGCATCTTAATAGGAAATTCACCTTAAAAGGTGACAGGTGTCCTCCCGGGCCAGCTTCTACAAGACAAAGCATGTCGAGGGAAGGGAAACACGTCTAATCCCCAAGCCTTCTCGTGGGGTTTTGCAGAGGAGATGGTCACAGCTCATGACCCAGCCTGCAACTCCCACCTCCCATGCCCTCAGCCCCAGGGCCTGGCACCCCCACCCTGCTCTGGCTTGGTGGTTTGCAGAGGGGTGACACAGGGCCATGGTCATCTGCACCTGTGGAGCTGTGAGAGGAAGGGAAGGGGCACAATCTTCGCCACAAGCTTCCCTCGGCCCTATTGTAATCTCTGGAAGGCTCCGTGAGACACCCAAGAGTCAGATGGGGAAACTGAGTCCCAGGGCTCAAGGGCATGCTACGTGGAGGGAAATGGCAAAAGAGCCACCGCCCAGCCTTGCTTATCCTCAGAAGGTGGCAACAGAAGCCACTGACATCCCTAACAAAGTGCCATGTGCTGGAAGGTGTGTATCCATGGGGGTGAGGACACGGGGGCAGAGGGAGCCTTTTCTTAGAGGGTCCCTGTTCTTGCCTCTCCCCCAGCCTCCCCTGGTGCAGCTTCCACTGGTCTTTTGGAGGGTCGTGCCTGTGGTGCCTGTGGTGCCTGTGGTGCCTGTGGTGCCTGTAGTGCCTGTGGTGTCTGTGGGGCCTGTAGTGTCTGTGGTGTGTGGTGTGGGGTGCCTGCCCCTCCCTCGGGGATGGGGCCAGATGCTGCGTGTCCCAGGTAGGCTCCCCCTCCCCCTGAACATGCCTGGCCGAGGGGCACCGCTGCAAATGTCATTATTACCAGGAGCCGTTTATAGGGTGCACTTTGTCCACGCGCAGGGTTTACAGCCCCTTTTATTCCTCATAAAACGGGAAGGGAGCAAAGCCCCAGCGTGTGGGGGCCAGGGCCTGGCTGCATCCGCTGGAGAGCAGCGAGAGGCTGGCTCGGTGCAGGCCCCTTTGCCACGTGACCCTGGTAGGCCCTGCTCCGAGGGGACCTGGGCACAGGGGATGGACTGTGGCAGGGCCCCTCTGGAGGCCTGGATGCAGGATGACCAGGGGCCCCAGAGAGCCCGATGTGCTTGGGTTTTCTGGAGCAGAGGTAAGGGGGAGGTGCTGAGGGGCTGGGACAGTGAGTCTGGGCTGTCTCCCTGACGGGTCCTCTCTTCCAAGCCTGCTTCCCGGCACACGGATGCTCCATGCTGCCCAGGCCTGGCTCCCCTTCCTCCTCAGCCCTTCACCTGGTCCAGGACAAGAGGGCAGGAGACCCCCCAGGCCCCACGGGGTTATGGGTAGGGAAGGGAGGCGGCTCTCTGCGGAGACTGCCTTGTAACCCAGGAAGCAGGAGAGAGGACTGCCCTGCCAGGGGCAACAAACAGGCACCGGATAGAACGGGGTGCCCAGGCCTCATCACCCGCCATGGCACCGTCCAAGGATGCCCAGATCCCTGAATGCACAGCATGGAGAAGGGCTGGAACAGGGGTCACATGATGGGGGCTGCTGGTGTGGGCCACTCCCCAAACCCCAGGCAGCACAGAGGCCACCAGGTCTCCAGGACTGTCCCTCCAGGGTCTTTACAGGTCCCGAGTCCTGACTCCTTACACACAGAGCGTGGGCCTGGGAGTGGGAGTCCAGGTCCCCCAGGCCCAGAGCCCTCCATCTTCCCTCCCCAGTCAGACTCACAGCACCAGCCCTTGGGCCACGGGGGTGACAGGCTCAGCTTCAGAGGCGCAGTGGCTGTCCTGGCCTCTGGTCAGTCTCCCTGGGGCAGGGGCTGCCTCTCCTCACAGACCTGGGCCTCCCTTGGGGTGGGTGCTGCCTCACAAGGGAGCCTCAGGTGGGGGTGGGTGCCGCCGAGCCTTTAGTGTCCGCCCAGAGGCATCCAGCGGGCAGCTGACCCCCTAGACCAAAGATTCCTGGAGTCTGAGGCGCTGCCTCCCCCACCACGTGGAAAGTTGGCCCTGATCAATTAGACCGTGCGCTAAATAAATCACTCGAGGGGCTTAGAGCTGTGTTTTTGCAGCGGTTGCAATAATAATATTAATAACAATGCCCCTCAGAAACCCGGCCAAGGCTGGAGTCTCAAGTGGGGAGGGAGCGGGTGCAGGGGCCATGCTGGCGTCCCTAGGCCTACCCCCAGCCCCCTGCCCACCCACCAGGGCCCCGCCACCTGGGCCACAGCCTGGCCCTGTCTCCTGGCTCAGAGCGTCCCGGACGTCTCCTACCCAGGGCCCCCTGGCCATGGTAGGGCTGTGCCGGGACCTAGAGCCCACCCCACACCAGCATGCATGCAGGGGAGGCTGGGGAGGCCCGGAGGACCCCCAGAGATACCCTGACCAGAGTGGACAGGAAGAGGCTGTGGGGCAAGGGCAGGGGCAGGGTAGACAGCACAGGGAGAACAGAAGAGAATAGAGTGTGGAGAGAAAGAGGGGGTGCAGGGCGGGTGGAGTAGGGGACGAGGGTCTGGGCGCAGGTTCGGCCCCCTGACTTCTCCAGGACCCCTCCTCCCACAGCGCTGACAGCCAGCATGGAAACAGTGCTCATCTCATGGGGACCTGCCCTGGAGGTCCACGCAGTCTGTGTAACTGCGGGGGTCCCCGTGGGCACTGGCCCGGCTCTGCTTCTGGGATGAGGTTGAGTGAGCAGATGGGGATCCCTGCAAGGTCCAGGGCCAAGGCAGAGACACAGAAGCAGAGGGAGATGGGTCTCCATTGTCACCCAGGCCCCTTGAGAGACCCCCGCCACCGCCAGAACCTGTGGACAGCTGAGCTGGATCTGTCCCCAAATCCTACAGTGGGGGGTCGGCCAGCACGGGCAACAGAGGGGAGCCGGCACAGGCCCTCCGTCCTCCTTCTGTGTGGGGCCAAGGAGGCCTCTGGCTGGTGAGTCTGCTGGACACCCAAGGCTCGAGAGGAAGCCATGGCTTTGGAGAGTGGCATTAGCACAGAGGGGAGCCAGCGGCCCACGGGCATCCCGCACACCCAGTGCAGGGGTGGCAGCAGGCCTGCCCTGAGGGCTGCCTCTGGGATGGGCAGAAGCGGCTCCTGTGGAGCTGCAGGAGGGAAAGGCAGGCGTGCCCTCCCGGCTCAGGCCTCTCCCCACCTGAAGGTCCAGAGAGGAGGCAGCCCCAGAAGACTGCACGGGCGGGGCTCACAGACAGGGCTCAGGGACCAAGGTGTGGGCCCCAGGGACAGCCAGCAGCAGGGAGGGAAGAGGGGGAAGAGGGGGCTTCCGCTGTGGGAGATGGCCCCTTGCTGGACGAAGGGCAGTTCTAGGGGGCCTCACTCCCACCTGAGCCCAGAGGCCCCAGCCTGGCGGGAGGGGCATTGCCCAGACCCACCCCTCGGCAGCCGCTGGTGCTTTGGGAGAGGGTGCCCTGGCTGCGGTTTGGGGAGGCATGTTAAAACATCAAAGACTTTTGAGTTCAAAGATGTCAGAGGGCAAAGGTCGCGGGCCCCGGCTGCCCTCTGTTTAACCTCAGCCCCAAAAGGGAAAAGGGAACCGAAGGGGAAGCAGCTCTGTCCCTGGCCCCATCCCCGGCCCCTCTCTCTCGTCTGATCCTTCTTCCTGGCTCTCTGCAGAGAGGGAGAGCGAGAGGGCCCCACTGTGGCTTCCCGAAGCTGCAGCCTCCACGCAGGCCCTCTCTCCCCTCCCCTTTTTTTGCAAAGGCATCGGAAAACAAACACGCTGCACTGCCCCCCCAACTCCCCACCTCCCACCCCCAAAATAAACCCAAGAACTCCGCCAGCCTGCTCAGCACAGCGGGAAAACCGGAGTGGTTGCCTGCGACCCAGAGCGCGACGCGAAAAATAAATTCCTTGTTTTATGATGGGAGGGGAAGGTGGGGGAGGAGAAGGAGACAGAGAGAGAGATAAATAATCTTTATTATTTTCTGTTATCATTTTCCTAGGGCCGTTTTGCCTGGGCACCACAGTCAGTTCTAGCCCAAGGCCCACCCCTGGGCCCAGGGCAGAAAAGGGCTGGAAGAGGTGGAGGAGGGGCCGGAGGAGGAGGAGGAGGAGGAGGAGGAGGCGAGCAGTGTAATTGAAGCTGGCTGTTGGCCCAACCACCAACTTAAAACAATAAAGCCAGAGGAAGTCCTGCAGGACAGAGAAACAGGGCGAGGGGGTGGGTGGCCAGGGGGGCAGGATGGAGAGGCCAGGGTCGCCCTTGGGACCCAGCTCTCCTTGTGGGGAGGAGGCCCCGTGTCCCAGAGAGCATAGTGAGCTGAGGGCTTTGGGTAACGGAGAGCAGGGGCGGTCAGTGGCATGGGTGGGGGTTTGGGCTGAGTGAGCAACCTGGGGGCTTGCAGGCCAGGGAGTCAGCCCAGCGAACGGCCCTGAAGTGGGGCTCCTGGGAACAGAGGGACGTACTCTTTGGGTGCTCCTGGTGGCTCCAGAACTGGCTGGGTTGGTTGGTCCAGGAGTTCCATGGCCTGGGCCTCCTTTCCTGGTACTAGGGCCGTGGATGCTGACGGGTGGGGATGGAGGGGGCCCTTCTAAAGAGGGCCGGCTCCCATGGGCCCTCAGGCCAGGGGGCACTGCCCGCCTTCCAGGCCACCCTGGTAGGGCTGGGAGGACCAGAAGGAGGGCAGCAGCCCTCTCCCCAGCCCGCCACCCACCATGCTAGAGGCCCTTGAGAGGATGGGTCCATGCCAGATCCCCTGCCCACGCGGGACCCCAGAGCCGCGCCTGTGTTGGGCAGGGCGGATGCTGGGGCGCCTTCTGCGGGGCTGCACAGCTGGAGTCAGTGGACCACAGTCGCCTTCCCAGGCAGGGCTGGGCTTCCAGTCCCATCAGGGAGACTCTGGCCGAGCTAATGCTCCCCAGACCAGGCTCCCCAGGGGACAAAGCGGGCAGGGCTCATGCCCAGCTGCTCACGCCCGCTTCCCCAGCCTGTCCTTTGTGTGCTGCTCCCCTCCCGGGCCTTAGGGTCTTTGTTCCCACGGCAGAGGGCCTGGCCCCTCTGAGGACCTCAGGCTCTGGAGACAGCACCTGCTCACGCCCAGCTAGAGCCACAGCAGGCGACCTGGTGAAGGGTCCTCAGGGCATCCTGCACCCAAGAGCAGGGAGGGGCCTGAGAGGCCGAGGGGCAATCTTAATTACCCCCAAAGCGAGGTTCAGTGGGACCCCCTTTGGAGGTCAGGGGTGCCCACGGAGAGGCCAGTCCTGGGAAGACGGGCATTTTCAACTGGCTGACCAGGAGGGGTGGGAGGCGGGAGGAAACAGGGCAGGCAGGCCAGAGGTGGTGGGAAACGGAGCGGGAGGTGACGATTTCAGCCTTCTTGGGCTGCTGTCACAAAGTAGCACAGCGTGAGAGAGAGTGTGAGGTCAGGGCGCCGTGGGCCGGTTCCTCCTGAGGCCTCTTTCCTGGGCTTGCAGACGCCGCCATCTCCCTGTGTCCTCACCTGGCTGTTGCCCTGTCAACGTCTGTGTTCTGATCTCCGCTTACAAAAACAACAGTCGGATGGGCTCAGGGTCATCCTAACAATTCCATCTTAACTTAGTACCTCCTTAAAGACCTACCTCCAGACAGACTGATTCTGAGGTTGTGGGGGTCAGGACTTCGGTGCCTAGACTGGGCAGAGACACGATGCAGGCCTTAGCTGTCTGTGTTCCCAGAACATGGGGGCCAGGAGAAGGCCAGGCGGGCACAGGCGAAGGGAACACAGACGTCTGCAGGCTGCTGGGAAGGAGGGCAGGAGGGGAGAAGGGCCTGGGGAGCGTGGCTTTGGGCAGCCAAGGTCACCTGTCCCACGGGTCCTGGAAACAGCAGCCCAGAGCCCAAGTGTACTGGGCCACGAGGACTCGGAGGGAGGATGTGGGTGAGGGCGAGGGGTGGCCCCCAAGAGCGAGGTCCAGAAATGCACAGGGGGCCCAGGGTCCTGGCTGGGAAGGCAGAGGCGGCCTTCCCTCGGCCAGGGACAGTGCAGATGCGGTCGGGCTGAGCAGTTGGAAGCCACGGCGTGGGAAACGGCCCGGCCAGAGCCGGATGTGAGAGGGGACCCAGGAGAGGCTGCACGTGCAGAGACGTGGCCCATCCACCCGGATCCTGTGGGCCTTGGGGGATCCAGACCCCTGACTCACAGTCACGCCACAGGCCAGGTGGGGACCCGCCTGGGGAAGAGACAGGAACTGGGGAGCTGCCTCCAGGTTTCCGAGCGCACGCGGATGGACGGGCTCCCAGCGGCCGGCTCCGACTTCAGGTCTCCCTGCCTCCCCTAATTGTCCCCGCATGAGGCACAGAGGAGGGAAGTGAGTTAACGCAGGAGTTTCCTCCAAGAAAGCTCATCAGAAAGGCCCAGATGGAAAAATCCGCCTCCATGGAGCCCTTGGAATTGGAAGTGATTTCTTTCTGGAAATATGTACCCTGAGGGGTGAGGGAAAGGACAGGGCCTGCACGTTCGTCAAGACGGAGACTGCTGGCTCCACACACCGTGAGCCCCCTCCCCAGGGCCGCCTCAACCCCTTCCTTCACCCCCTCTCACATCCCCTCAGGGGGAGGGTCCTGCCGGCCTGCCCGGGTCAAGGTCCATGGCCCAAGGTGGGGACGTGGCCTCTGCCTGTGAACGAGCTGTGAACGAGTTCCTCCCTAGACCAGCAGGGCCACAAAGGCTGGGACCTTCCACCCTCAGGGTCCTCCCCACAGCCAACCTCCCTCTGCCAGTCTGCACCCACCACACCCCATCTGCACGGAGGGGAAGTCTCCCTGAGTTTAATCTGTCCTCTGTGTGCTTAATCTGAAGATGCCCCAATGCACACTGTGGGTGCCTGCAGCACACAGATTGGAAAGCACTTAGATGTGGCTCTGCCCCTACCCCCACTTATGGACAAAGACACTAGGGTTGGGAACGAGGAACTGATTTGTCCCCAAGGCAGTGTGTGTGTCAGGACAGGACGGGCACTCCTGTGTGGAGAGCTGCCCCCCTTCCCTCCTGCCCACCGTGTGGTCCTCCCTCACTGTACTTGCCCCAAGATGGTGGTGGTCCAAGAATGGTGTGGGTAGGGTCTCCTCCAGGCGACTGGGGACCCAGGCTCCCGCAGCCTTGTGGCTCTGCACTCCTGAAGCTGCTGGGGGTAGAGGGAAGAGAACGTAGAGGATCCTTCTGGAGACTGTTACGGACCAGACCTGAGAACAATGCTATCACTTCTGCTCCCAGTGAGTGGGCTGGGCTCTGTGCACAGGGCCGGAGGACGTGTGCACAGAGAGCGGTCCTCGCCGGCCCTCACTGGCCCAGCAGCAGCACCCACCTCCCACCTCCAAGCCCTTGTCCTCGTCTCTCTGCCAGCCCTGCTCCTGTCTCCGTGATGATGGCCCTTCCAGGTGGGGCTGGCCCGACTTGGGGCTCATGAACGCTCTCTGCCCATCGCCGTGTGCCCCTATGGGCTCTGAGTTCTGGGACAGGGCCCAGCTCTGCTGCTGGGGACAGAAGAGGTCCAGAGAAGACAGAGTCTCTGTGCTCAGGGAGCTTCTGGGCTGGGTGGGAGAAAGGGCTCCACTGGGCGCAGTCAGGTGCCAAGTGCAGCTGATCCCCAGAGCCTGGTGAGCAGGAGGCAGCCCCACCACAGGAGGCCATGTTGACGCAGTCCCTGGGACTCCGAGGGCAGCCTCGGTGGCCAGCCTGGGCCGTGTGCAGTGGACACTGGGGAGAAAGGGAGCCTGGGCCGTGTGCAGTGGACACTGGGCACAAAGGGAGCCTGAGCCGTGTGCAGTGGACACTGGGCACAAAGGGAGCCTGAGCCGTGTGCAGTGGACACTGGGCAGAAAGGGAGCCTGGGCTGTGTGCAGTGGACACTGGGCACAAAGGGAACCAGTGGTAAAGAGCAGATGGGCACCCCAGCACAGACAGCAGGAAGGGCCACAGAGACAAATGCCCCATTTCCCGGCCAGCCCCACGCAGGAAGGTGCGCCTGGGGAGGGAGGGAGGCAGGAAAGGCAGCCGCACGGCCCAGCCGCGGGTGACTGTGGACCTTGCCCCGGCCTTTCCAGCCCCAAACCCCCCAATGTGCAGCCTCAGCCTTCAGGAATGTCCTGTCCATGGCTCAAGCTGCCAAGGGGAATGGACAGGGCCCAGGAGCGGGGGCCCAGGCAGGTGGCCGGCGGCTCTGACACTTTCCTGGCCGAGGTCTGAGTCCCCCGCGGACATCGCCGGGGCGGTTTGGTGGGCTCCAGCGTCTGGGGGTGTGGGAGAGCTTCCAGGCCCCAGCCCATCTGCTCAGGCTCCCACTTGGAAGGCCTGTGTTGTTGAGATGTCTGAAATATTTGTTTTCTAAAGGATTAGCTTCCAGATGATTCTGGAAGGGGCCAGGAACGATTGGCGTGGAGGGAGGAAGGAGGCCCTCGCTCCCTCTTGAATCTGGACCAGGAAGGCGTCCTCTGTGCCTTGAGAGGCCCAGGCCACGTCGTCCTTTCTCTAAGCCTTAGTCAGTCCACTTGCTCATCCACTGAGGCTTTTATTCATCCAACAAATATACCTTAAGCTCCCTCTATAAACCAGACCCACGGCCAGGGGCTTAAAACCCCACCTGGTCAGATAGCCCTTCCTCGCCAAGCAGGGAGCACGGGGCTCTTCCCCGTGGGGCATGTCCTGCCCAGGCCCCCGCACTGGCCTTCACGAAACCACTCCGACGTGCACACCCCTCCCACGTGGTGCCAGTTCTGTGGGAGCTGTCAACCCCAGACAAAGTCTAGGCCATTTGTCCCCTCTGTCCACACCCCTCTACTCCCCACCCTGAGGAGCCTGGCGAGGAAGAGGAGGGCCAGTCACCTTTCCTACCGAGGGACTTCTCCAGCCTTCCTGGCTCAGATCCCACTGGCGTTGGCGTGCTGAGATTCAGGACAGTGGCAGCTCCTGTGGGTGGAGGATGGGGGTCCCGGGGAAGAAGATGGCCCGGAGCAGCCTGGCTGGGGCCTGTCCACGAGTGGGAGGCAGAGGACTTGAAGACGGCATGGCTTGTCTTTGACGGGGGAGGGTCTGGCTTTAGGGGACTGTGAGTGTTTTGGGAGAGACGAGAAGGGAGCCCTGGAGAGGGTGTCCTGGGGCCACCTTGCTGGTGTCAGCGTGAGCCTAAGGAAGCAGGGGCAGGAAAGTGGGGAGACACGAGGACTTCAGAGTCAGGAGGAGGAGAAGTCCCCGGAAGAGAGTCTCTAAGAACTGTTAGCACGGAGAACGAGAGGGGGAGAGACAGACCCTGGAGAAGACCAGCAGGCAGAAAACAAGGCTGGAAGGGGCAGAGGCCCAAGGACCCTGCGTTCCCAGGTTGGAAGCACCAACTGTGTCCAGCCCAACAGACACCCCACAAACCAACGGGGTCCCTGAGTGAGAATGCAGGGCTCGTGGCCAATGGTGACAGTCCTCACCCCAAAAGGAATAGCTGGGGCCACAGGCCCTGGATGGCCGGCAGCTGGGGCACCAGGCCGAGATGTTGGGGAGGCTGGCAGGGACCAGGTGGGGAGGAGGGTTGTGGGGTCAGCAGAGGCTGGGGAGAGGGCAGCGAGGTCGACAGCAGAGAGGCCAGGAGCCAGCTGTGTGCTGCCAAGAGGGCAAGTCACCAACACCATGCATGACATCCTCAATGTGGGTGACAGCCAGGACCGGCCCCATTAAAACTCCAGGCCTCCAAAGATAGGCCTAGGCCCTCAGACACACCCAGAGGTCCAGGGGCACAGGCAGGCACAGGCTGGGTGTCAGCGGGCACAGGATGAGCCAGAGCTGCCCTGCAGGGACCTCCAGAGCCTCCCATGTGTGTATTTTGGGGTCCACCACGGCAGGCTGCCTCATTCTGCCCCTTTCTAACTCTGAACTCTGAGCAGCTAAGAGCTCGCCAGGCTGCACACCACACCGGGAGCTCAGGCCAGATGGAAAACCCCACAGCAGGCTCAGCCCACATCATGCACAACGTCCTCAATGTGGGTGACAGCCAGGACCGGCCTCACTAACACGCCACACCTGGATTTCCCCAGGGGAAGGCTTGCAGGACGGTCTCCCTTCTAGCTCCCCTGGAGGTGAGGGCCACTCTGTCTCCTTTCCCTCAGCCGGCAGGTGAGGAGTTGCGTGAACGCCGGCTTCCCTGCTATTTCGTGGCCGATTCCCAGGGGAACTCCCTGGTGCAGAAGACTGAGGCTCAGAGAAGTGGAGGGTCTTGGGCTTCTCTTAACTGGGTACATCTTCTGCCCGTGGGTGACCAGCCAGGCTCCGCCATGCGGCTGCTGTCTGCTAGAAGCTGGGCTCAGTCGGTCAGTCCAAGTAGCCTTGCCTTCCGAATCTGGCACTCTGGTGCCCTTTCTGGGAACTCTTTCCACACGGCTAGCTTGGGCTTCCTCACAGCATGGCAGTCTCCTGACAGTGAGAGTCGTACATGGCTTTTCATGTGCAAAAAGCACCCCTAAGACTTTTTAACGGTCAGCTTTGAAGTCCCAGAGCAACACCCCACTGCATTTTATTGGTCAAAAAGCACCCAGATTTCAGGGGAGGGGAAATAGATCCATCCTCCTGGCATGAGCAGGGGTGAAGCTTCCTTGCAAAAGGAGCACGGAGCGGGGACGAGACTGTATGGCGTCCCTGTAAGCGGCGTGCACGGGTGCTGCAGGGGAGGCTGTGGCTGGGTCAGTGCACCGACCTCGGAGGAAGGGAAATAGACAGTCACGTGTCAAACCGTCAGCCTCGCCACATTTCGCTCCATTCCTTCTTGGGTTGAACACCTTATGTTGCTCCATTTTGTGATCCCTGAGAAGAAGTGGCTCTGTCAGGATGGAATCAGAGAAGCAGAGCCTCCTCACGGCCAAAGGGCAGGGGCTTTGCTGGAAGGGATGGGACCTTCTGCCGAGATGGAGCTCCAGGTTGTCTGTGAGACGCTACTGCCCGGCTCTGGGGCTGGGCCTGAAGCCAGCAGGACAGGCGGTCAGGAAAGAAGATGGGCAGGAAGTGGGAGGGGACAAGGGCCACCTGGACGTCGCGAGGTCACACGTGAACCCATGTGGACAGTCCGGAGCCCACATCTGTGTCTTACCGCTTTGTGCTGCGTTGAGCTCCCCGGAAATTCATGTCCACCCAGGACCTGTGAGTGGGGCCTTCTGTGGACAAGGGCTTTTGTGGCTGCCACTAAATAAAGACAAAGTCGCGCTGAATCGAGGTGGGGGAGGCATCAATTCAATGAGTGTTGTCCTTATAACAAGAGGGAAATTTGCACACAGAGACACAGACGCACAGTGGAGGAGGCCACGTGAAGACAGAGGCAGAGACTGGAGCAATGCAGCCGCACGCCGCAGGACGCCTGGAGCCCCCAGAAGCCAGACGGGGCAAGCAGGGGCCACCCTAGGGCCTTGCAAAAGAGGGCGGCCCTGCCCTCCCCTGGGTGGTGAACCTCGGGGCTCCAGAGCTGTGAGAGTCATTCCTATGGTTAAAGCCACCCAGTCTGTGATCACTTTTTCACTGCAGCCCCAGGAATCAAACCCCTCCAGTCCGAAAACACAGGGGACATCTGGAGGAGCAAGCACCACGCACCAGGGGGCCGCAGACACCCGTGGCCCAGGACTCAGAGGAGCCACAGGCTTGGGGCCCGGGGCCAGCAGGCTGAGTCCGGGACGGTGACGCCAGGTGTGTGCAGTAGCAGCACCCAGCCAGCACCCCCGGCAGATGCAAACATGGTGGCCGTTTCCACCCACTGGTCATGCTGCAGCCGGATAAGTCTGCCAGGGCTGCCTCTACAAAGCGCCACGGACCGGGAGGCTTAACTGAGGGAGATACATCCTCTCCCAGTCCTGGAGGTTGGAGTCCAAGATCAGGGCTGCTGCAGGGCTGGGTCCTCCGAAGCCTCTCTCCTTGGCTTATAGACGCTGCCTTCTCTGCGTGTCCTCGCGGGGTCATCCCTCCATGTGTGTCTGTGTCCTCCTCTCCTCTTCCTATAAGGACACAGTCCTATGGGACTGTGCTCACCCCTGCTCACATCAGGAGAACGGTCCTGTGTCTCCTCTCGGGACCCCATCTTGGTGCTTTCCTCTTGGTTACCCCACGGTCAGGACTCCGCCACCAGCGTGAGCCCACACACTGGTTCTGGAGTGGTGGGCACAGGTGAGAGGGAGGTACAGCTGCCACAGCCAGGAAACCCCAGGACGGTCCTGAATGGGCCCGCAGCTGGCTTTTCTCTGCCAGAGTCATGAGAGTGAAGGTCGCCAGCTCCCAGGGTCAGGGCCCAGCCTCCTTCCATCTCACTGCTCCGGCCGCCTCAGTTCCTCATGGAGTCTGTTTGGTGCCTCTCCAGAGAAGACAAGTTGAAGCCCTGACCGCCAGCGTCTCAGACCACAAACTCATTTGGAAATAGGGTCATTATAGACACAGTCGGTCAGGTCAGACTGCAGTAGGGCAGGCCCTGAATCAAACATCATGATGTTTGATGGTAGAAGAGCGGCACGAGAGAGCGGTGCTGCGTGAAGGCGCAGGGTGGGAGCGTCCTGGAAGATGGGCATGGCTGGGGTGACAGATCTGGGAGCCAGGGAACACTGGGAGCCTCCCTTAGAGCCCCAAGAAGGAGCCAGCCTCGACCACCCCTGACTCTGGCCTTCTAGCATCGAAACAGGGAGAGACACATTCCATGTGATTGTTCCAATCAGCCCAGCTTCTAGGACTTCCTTATGGCAGCCTCAGGGAACTGGTTCAAAGCCCAAGTGGGCTATCCCATTACTTACATCTGGGTAGGTCCCAGCCACAGGGGAGAGAGAAGAGAAAGCCCCTCTATCTAATGACACGCTGCGCCACGTCCCACCCAAGTGACACGCTGTACCCACATCCCGTCCAGGTGACACGCTGTGCCCACGTCCCACCCAAGTGACACGCTGTACCCACATCCCTATCCAGGTGACACACTGTGCCCACGTCCCCGTCTAGGTGACAGGCTGTACCCACATCCCACCCAGGTGACACGCTGTACCCACATCCCGTCCAGGTGACACACTGTGCCCACGTCCCTGTCTAGGTGACACGCTCTGCCCACGTCCCTGTCTAGGTGACACGCTGTACCCACATCCCGTCCAGGTGACACGCTGTACCCATGTCCCACCCAGGTGACATGCTGTACCCACATCCCGTCCAGGTGACATGCTGTGCCCACGTCCCTGTCTAGGTGACAGGCTGTGCCCACGTCCCACCCAGGTGACATGCTGTGCCTACGTCCCTGTCTAGGTGACAGGCTGTACCCACGTCCCACCCAGGTGACATGCTGTACCCACATCCCTATCCAGGTGACAGGCTGCACCCACGTCCCACCCAGGTGACACACTGTACCCATGTCCCACCCAGGTGACATGCCGTGCCCACGTCCCTGTCTAGGTTACAGGCTGTACCCATGTCCCACCCAGGTGACAGGCTGTACCCACGTCCCTATCCAGGTGACACGCTGTACCCACGTCCCTGTCTAGGTTACAGGCTGTACCCACGTCCCACCCAGGTGACAGGCTGTACCCACGTCCCTATCCAGGTGACACGCTGTACCCACGTCCCTGTCCAGGTGACAGGCTGTACTCATGTCCCACCCAGGTGATGCACTCTACCCATGTCCCACCCAGGTGACGCACTCTACCCATGTCCCACCCAGGTGACATGATGTATCCATGTCCCTATCTGGGTGACAACGCTGTGCCATGTCCCTATCCAGGTGACACACTGTACTCATGTCTCTATCTAGATGACAGCACCGTACCCACATCTTCATCCGGACAACAGCACTGTGCCCACGTCCTGTCTTGGTGACATCAATGTGGTTACATACCTGTCCATGTGATACCACCATGCCCACATTCCATCCACGTGATACACTATACCCACATCCCTGTCCAAGTGACATCACTGTGCCCACATCTGCCTCCAGGTGACAGTGCTGTGCCCACATCCCCACCCAAGTGCTCTGGGCAACTTGGTCGGGGCTCTGGCCACTTTCATGTCGGTGTCACCCTGTGTGTAGATCATAGCACCCAGGCACTCACCATTGCCGTGGCCAGCACAGACCAGATACGACCCCAGTCGTCCTCAAAACTAGGTCCCCTGTGCTGCTGTGCCCCGCAGTTGCTTCACTGGCAAGACCACTCTTAGCAGGTGAGCCTGGAAGCAGAACCTCCGCAGCTCCTGGTCTGTCCTATACACATGCAAATGCCCCATTAGAAAGCAAATAGCCCCAAGTGTCTGCCTGCTCCCAGGCAAAATCTTCCTCCGGGAATCAGTGAACAGAAGAGATGTCCGTCACCCCCAGGAGAGTGGTGTCTGAACCCGTATAACTGCCCAACAGGTTCTCCCTGCCGCCTATCTGGACAGAGCTGCTATCACGACAGGGGAATTGCAATAAAGTTTAATTCACACATAATCGGCCGTGCAGGAGACTGGAGTTTTATTATTACTCAAATCAGTCTCCCAGAAAATGTGGAGATCAACTCAAATCAGTCTCCCAGAAAATGTGGAGATCAAAGTTTTTCAGGAACATTTGGTGGGTAGGGGGCCAGTCAATCAGGAGTGCTGATTGGTTGGGTCAGAGAAGAAATCATAGGGAGTCAAAGCTGTCTTTTTGTGCTGCGTCAGTTCCTGGATGGGGGCCACAAGACCAGATGAGCCAGTTTATCAATCTGGGCGGTGCCAGCTGAGCCATCCAGTACGGGGTCTGCAAAATATCTCGAGCACTGATCTTAAGTTCTATAACAATGATGTGATCCTAGGAGCAATTTGAGGAGTTTAAGAATCTTGTAGCCTCCAGATGTGTGACTCCATGACTCCTAAACCATAATTTCTAATCTGTGGCTAATTTGTTAGTCCTGAAAGTCTAGTCCCCCGGCAGGAAGAGGGTTTGTCCTGGGAAAGGGCTGTTATTGTCTTTGTTTCAAAGTTAAACTACAAACAAAGTTCTGCCCAAAGTTAGTCCAGCCTGCACCCCAAAATGAACAAGGAGGCAAGATAGAGTTAGTTACGCCAGGTCTCTTTCACTGTCACAATTTTCTGTTATAATTTTTTTTTTTGAGACGGAGTTTTGCTCTTGTCATCCAGGCTGGAGACCAATGGCTTGATCTTGGCTCACTGCAACCTCCACCTCCCGAGTTCAAGCGATTCTCCTGCCTCAGCTTCCCAAGTAACTGGGATTACAGGTGCCCACCACCATGCCTAGCTAATTTTTGTAGTTTTAGTAGAGACTGGGTTTTGCCATGTTGGCCAGGTTGGTCTCGAACTCCTGACCTCAGGTGATCCACCCGCCTTGGCCTCCCAAACTGCTGGGATTACAGGCGTGAGCCACCACCGCTGGCCGATTTTCTGTGATAACTTTTGCAAAGGTGGTTTTACCAGGAGAACCAAGCATTAATGCGCTGTGACTAATGTGTAGTAGAGCGGCATTCCCCAATGGGAGAACCCTGGGGCTGTCTAGGAGTTCCTGCATGGCTGGGATCCTAATCCCAGGGACATCACTGATGACAGCTCCCATAGTACGTAGGACAGTGGATACTTAGAGGCAAAGAGAAATCTCTATGTTCTGGAGTGGTCATGACTTGGACCCCAAAGAACCTGAGCCCAAGGTCCAGATGGAGACCCTCCTCACAGGGCCTCCAGCAGAAACAGGGATTGTGGGAGCCTGCCAAGCATAGCGCACAAGTATTTCTGGAGGCTTCCCGTTCAGTCTTAGATGCCGACCTCACCAAGGGCGGCCCGTCTCACCGACCTCACCAAGGGCGGCCCATCTCACCGACCTCACCAAGGGCGGCCCGTCTCACCGACCTCAGCAAGGGCGGCCCGTCTCACCGACCTCACCAAGGGCGGCCCATCTCACCGACCTCACCAAGGGCGGCCCGTCTCACCGACCTCACCAAGGGCGGCTCATCTCACCGACCTCACCAAGGGCGGCCCGTCTGACCGCCCTGATGGCACAGAATTGGCTGTAGGTGTGGAATCAGAAGTGGCCGCGCGGCGGCAGTGCAGGCTCATACATCACAGCCCGAGCACGCCTGGCTGGGGTTCGCCCACAGAAACATCCCACGTCACCCAGGCCAGGTGCCTCATTGGTTCCCGAGGGTCGTCTGAGATAGGACACTCATGCGAGTAACATTGGGCTACATGTTTCATTCACCCCAGGGTACACTGTTGAAGGTTGGGGAGATTGGAGGAGATACTTGGGGGACAATGAGGTGTCCCAGTTCCTTGGATGAAGGGATCTCGGCCTCAGCGTGAGACCCCTCCCACAGGGTCTCTGGCAGGCATAAGAGCCCGGGGGCTCTTGCATAGCACATGGGTAATTTCTAGAGGCTTCCCCTTCGGTCTCACCGCCCGGATGGTGCAGAATCGGTTGTAGTTGTGGAATCGGAAGTGGCCGCGCGGCGGCAGTGCAGGCTCACACATCACAGCCCGAGCCCGCCCCAGCTGGGGTTCACCCGCGGAAACATCCCGGGTCACGCAAGCCAGGCGCCGCAGGGTTCACGGGGGTCGTGAGGGATAGGACGCTCATGTGAGCCACGTTGGGCTATGTGTCTGATTCACCTCAGGGTGCATTGCTGAAGGTTGGGGAGATGAGAGGAGATATTTGGGGGACAATGAGGTGTCCCCATTCTTTGGATGATGGGGATCTTGGCCTCAGCGTGAGGTCCTTCCCACAGGGTCTCTGGCAGGCACAAGAACCCGGGGGCTCCTGCGTAGCACATGTGTATTTCTAGAGGCTTCCCCTTCAGTCTCACCACCCTGATGGCACAGAATCGGTTGTAGTTGTGGAATCAAAAGTGGCCGTGCGGCGGCAGTGCAGGCTCACACATCACAGCCCGAGCCCTCTCTGGATGGGGTTCACCCGCGGAAACGTCCCGGGTCACCCAAGCCAGGTGCCCCAGGGTTCTCGGAGGTCTTCTGGGAATAGGATGCTCATGGGAGCCACATCAGGTCTTTTTATCGGGCTATATCCACAGCCCGTGGCCCCGGGTCGTACTCTGAGGCCTTCAGTGACATGGCCTGGGACTCAAGTCACGCCTACCAGCGTGATGAGCACAACAAGTTCCGCCAAAAGCTTACACGTTCCCACATCCATCCCAGAGCATAGATCCGACTAAGGACAGCCCCCAAAATCCCGAGCCTTTTACTGAACTGACAATTGCCTCCCCAGTGAACACTCTAAGCTCGTCAATCCTAAACGGCCAGACATTAACATTCCCATTCAGTGCAGGTTTGATATGCTAATTCAGGGGCTTGAGATGCTAAAGAGCTGGGAGTGTCACTGCTGCTTTATTCTGGGGTCTAGGATCCTTGCATTGCCTGAGATAAATCGCTAATGTGGGTGCAGCAGACATCCCGCGGTTTGTGGAATTGACAAAGGATGGGGATCAGTGGTGTTTGTGCACCGTGCGGTCTGTGCCCAATCGCCTGCCTTGTGCTGTGGAATCTGTACACCTGGCCAACAAGTGCTCATATGAGCCTGATGGTGCATTTTCCAGAGCCCCACCTTGGCTCTGCCCTGGAGCCTGTGTGCTGCTGGAATCAGACTCAAGGACCTCATCAGAGGACCATGGCCCCGTATCACCTTGGTCAGGGACTGAAGTTGGGACAGGAGAGCAGAGACTTCCGAAATGAGGGATCCCTGTGTTCTGAGGTGGTAATGACTGGGACCCAAGGACTCAAGCACATGCTCCAGAGGGAACTGTTTCCCACAAGGCCTTCGGCAGGAACAGGGATCCTGGGAGTCTGCCAAGCATAGTGCACAAGTGTTCCTGGAGTCTCGCTGCCCGGATGCCACGGAATCAGTTGAAGGTATGGAAATACAGGTGGCTGCGTGGCGGCAGGGCAGGCTCACGCATCATAGCCCAAGCCCGGCTACCTGCAGTTCCCCTGCAGAAATGTCCCAGGTCAACAGGCCAGGCGCCGCAGGGTTCACGGGGGTCATCAGGGATAGGACACTCATGGGAGCCACATCGGGCTACGTGCCTGAGTCACCCCAGGGTGCACTGTTGAAGGTTGGGGAGATTGGAGGAGATACTTGGGGGACAGTGAAGTGTCCCCATTCTTTGGATGATGGGGATCTTGGCCTCAGCGTGAGACCCCTCCCACAGGGTCTCTGGCAGGCATAAGAGCCCAGGGGCTCTTGCGTAGCACGTGGGTATTTCTGGAGGCTTCCCCTTCGGTCTCACCGCTCGGATGGCACAGAATCGGTTGTAGTTGTGGAATCAGAAGTGGCCGCGTGGCGGCAGTGCAGGCTCACACATCACAGCCCGAGCCCGCCCCAGTTGGGGTTCGCCCGTGGAAACATCCCGGGTCACGCAAGCCAGGCGCCGCAGGGTTCCCGGGGGTCGTGAGGGATAGGACACTCATGGGAGCCACATCAGGCTACGTGTCTGATTCACCCCAGGGTGCACTACTGAGGGTTGGGGCGATGAGAGGAGATACTTGGGGGACAATGAGGTGTCCCCATTCTTTGGATGATGGGGATATCGGCCTCAGCGTGAGACCCCTCCCACAGGGTCTCTGGCAGACACAAGAACCTGGGGGCTCTTGCACAGCACATGTGTATTTCTAGAGGCTTCCCCTTCGATCTCACTGCCCGCATTGCACAGAATCAGTTGTAGTTGTGGAATCAGAAGTGGCCGCGCGGCGGCAGCGCAGGCTCACACATCACAGCCCGAGCCCTCCCTGGCTGGGGTTCACCCGCGGAAATGTCCCGGGTCACGCAAGCCAGGCGCCGCAGGGTTCCCGGGGGTCGTGAGGGATAGGACACTCATGGGCGCCACATCGGGCTACGTGTCTGATTCACCCCAGGGTGCACTATTGAGGGTTGGGGCAATGAGAGGAAATACTTGGGAGACAATGAGGTGTCCCCATTCTTTGGATGATGGGGATCTCGGCCTCAGCGTGAGACCCTTCTCGTAGGGTCTCTGGCAGGCACAAGAACCCGGGGACTCTTGCGTAGCACATGTGTATTTCTAGAGGCTTCCCCTTCGGTCTCACTGCCCGGACGGCGCGGAATTGGTTGTAGTTGTGGAATCGGAAGTGGCCGTGCGGCGGCAGTGCAGGCTCATACATCATAGTCCGAGCCTGCCCCGGCTGGGGTTCGCCCGTGGAAATGTCCCGGGTCACCCACGCCAGGTGCCGCAGGGTTCACGGGGGTCATCTGGGAATAGGACACTCATGGGAGCCGCACCAGGTCTTCAGGTGGGGCCATATCCACAGCCCTGTGGCCCCGGCTCGCACTCTGAGGGCTTCGGTGTCATTGTTTGGGACTCAAGTCACGCCTACTTATGTGATGATCACAGCGTGTTCCAGCAAAATCTTACACTTTCCACATGTATCGCAGAGCACAGATCCGACTCTAAGGACAGCGCTCAAATCCAACTCTTTACTGAACTGACTTCTGCCTCCCCAGAGAACACTCCGAGCTCCTCAGCCCTAAGTGGCCAGACATTAACATGCCCATTCAATGCAGGTTTGAGATGCTAATTCAGGAGCTTAAGATGCTAAAGAGCTGGGAGGGCCACTGCTGCTTTATTCTGGGGTCCAGGATCCTTGTGTTGTCAGAGATAATCCACTAACGTGGGTACAGCAGACACCCTGTGGTTTATGGACTTGGTATGGGGTGGGGACCCTGATGGGACTAAGATGCTCGATGGCCCGGATGTGCTACTTGCTCAGAGATCATCATGTCCGGGCGGTGGTAGTTGGCGTGTGGAGAGGTACATTTGCCCACAGGTGTTCCCTGTGGCCGTGCATTGCTGGGAGTGAAATTCCAGGACAGCACCACCGGATCCTCCCACAACGGCTGGAGCGGGAGCGAGGGGCCTGGGAAGCCGCCTTGCCCGGCACATTTGTATTTCCGGAGTCTCCCTTGGGTCTTGGGTGCTGTCCCCAATGAGCCCATCTCCCAGCAATGGCACAGAATCGGTTGCAGCTATAGAGACAGAAATGGCTGAGAGGCAGCAGTGGTGACTCACATGACAGTATGAAGGTGACCCAAGGCTGGACTCCACTTTTAGCAAAATGTGGGGATCTGCCTTGGTCTCCCAACTCATGGGAAAGCCTGAGAATTCTCATGCCGTGAAGCTGGGGTTCACCCACGACAAAGTCCGGTGGTCAGTGCTCAGCAGGCAAGCACCCAGCCGTTCCTGGCCGGGCCATAGAAGCAGAGGGTTTGCTGAAGGCGCAGCCAGCCCTTCCACATCCCAGAGGGCCTGCGGGGTGATTGGACCCATGAACTCTGGGTCCCTTGGCCCTGGTGCCCCCCTTCACGGCTTCGACACTCGAGACTTGAGGTGAACCCTATGAACCGCGGGACCCCAACAACCCTCCCCAGAGGCCAAGGTGGTGACCCGCGGACCCACAGCGGGGTGGCTGGGGGAGTCGAAGCTCTCCAGTCTTCACTCCACTCCCAACCGTGGTGCCCCGCGGGGCCTGGGAGAGTCTGTGAGGCCGCCCACCATTTGTCAGTAGAGTGCGCCCGGGAGCCGAGAGCACGACCGGCAGCATGCCGTCTTCAGACAGGAAAGTGGACGGGAAGGGGACCAGGGTGCCCAGCGGCTGTGGGGACTCTGTCCTGCGGAAGCCGTGGTGACGAGCACAAGCTCGTTCAACTGGATGGGAATCGGCCTGGGGGCTGGCACCGCATCCATCAGGGGGTTTGCGGCACTTCCCTCTGCCCTCAGCACCCCACCCCCACTCTCCAGGAACCACACCCCGTGGACTTCCGGGACCCCTGGAGCAAACGTGAGGTCTGAGCCGTCCGTGGTGTTGGCAGGAAAGGGCTCTGTGTGCCATCCAAGTCCTCAGGGACCCGCAGTCGGCCCCCAGTCATGTGCAAAGTACATGCAGGGCGCTGGCAGGCAGGGAGCAGCAGGCATGGTGCCCCCTGAGGGAAGACAGCAGTCTGGGAGGGAGAAGTCCTCGACCCTGAGGGAGACGACAGGGGCAATGCCCAGCCCTGTCTCCGGATGCCAAAGGAGGGGTGTGGGGAGGCCGTCTTTGGAGAATTCCAGGATGGGTGCTGGGTGAGAGAGACGTGTGCTGGAACTGTCCAGGGCGGAGGTGGGCCCTGCGGGGGCCCTCGGGAGGGCCCTGCTCTGATTGGCCGGCAGGGCAGGGGCGGGAATTCTGGGCGGGGCCACCCCAGTTAGAAAAAGCCCGGGCTAGGGCCAAGGAGCAGGGTGAGGGAGGGGGTGGGAGGGGTGGGGGGTAACGGGGGAAACTGGGGAAGTGGGGAACCGTGGGGCAACCAGGGGAAGATGGGGTGCTGGAGGAGAGTTTGTGGGAGCCAAGGAGCACCTTGGACATCTGGAGTCTGGCAGGCGTGACGACGGGTGGAGGGGCTAGCTCGGGGCAGGGCTGTGGGGTCTGGGGCCAGTGAGGAGTGTGGAGTAGGCGCCCAGGCATCGTGCAGACGGAGCAACATCAGCTGGGGGCGATGGGCCTGAGCTAGGGCTGGAGAGAAGGGGGAGCCAGACATTCATCCCGGTCACTTTTGGTTACAGGACGTGGCAGCTGGTTGGACGAGGGGAGCTGATGGGCAGGGTTTGATCCCAGGGCCTGGGCAACGGAGGTGTAGCTGGCAGCAGCGGGCAGGTGAGAACCCCATCTGCCGGGCAGGTGAGTCCCTTCCCTCCCCAGGCCTCGCTTCCCCAGCCTTCTGAAAGAAGGAGGTTTAGGGGATCGAGGGCTGGCGGGGAGAAGCAGACACCCTCCCGGCAGAGGGGCAGGATGGGGGCAGGAAAGTTAGAAAAGGTGACATCTTCTCGGGGGGAGCCGAGACTGCGCAAGGCTGGGGGGCTGCGGGCTCATCCCAGGCAGAAAGGGCAAGAGGGCAGGGACGGAGCGCAGGGTGGCCAGCGTAGGGTCCAGCACGTGGGGTGGTACCCCAGGCCCGGGTCAGACAGGGACAAGGCAGGGGACACAAAACAGAGGGGTCCCCAGCTGCCACCTCACCCACCGTAATTCATTTAGTAGCAGGCACAGGGGCAGCTCTGGCAGGGCTTTCTCAGGCCTGTGCCGGAGCCTCGAGGGCTGGAGAGCGGGAAGACAGGCAGTGCTCGGGGAGTAGCAGCAGGACGTCACCAGGAGGGCGAAGCGGCCACGGGAGGGGCCCCGGGACATTACGCAGCAAGGAGGCTGCAGGGGCTCGGCCTGCGGGCGCCGTTCCCACGAGGCACTGCGGCCCAGGGTCTGGTGCGGAGAGGGCCCACAGTGGACTTGGTGACACTGTATGCCCTCACCGCTCAGCCCCTGGGGCTGGCTTGGCAGGCAGTACAGCATCCAGGGGAGTCAAGGGCATGGGGCGAGACCAGACTAGGCGAGGCGGGCGGGGCGGAGTGAATGAGAGCTCTCAGGAGGGAGGCTGGCGCAGGCAGGGGTGAGGAGCACAGCAGGCGGCGAGCGGGAGGCACTGGCCTCCAGAGCCCGTGGCCAAGGCGGGCCTCACGGGCGACGACGGAGCCGGGATCGGTGCCTCAGCGTTCGGGCTGGAGACGAGGGTGAGTTTTTTCTCCTCTGCCACTCTGAGCCCCCACCTGCCCCTTCCCACACAACTAACACCTCTCTCGTTCTCCCCACAGCCAGGTCTCCAGTCGGGGTGGACGTGCCCACCAGCTGCCGAAGGCCGGGACGCCGGGTCCGGCGGACTTGCCGAGTGGGACATGACATGGTCCGGTGTGACGGCGAGGACAGAAGGGGCGCGTCCGGCCTTCCTGGTAAGCATGTCTGCCTTCCTTGCGTCGGGACGGGGCCCTGCCCAGACCGCCCGGCGGGGCCACCATCTCACTCCCCCCACCTTTGTCTCCTACAGAACACCCTAGGCTGGTGGGGCTGCGGCAAGAAGCGGGTCTGTTTCTTTACTTCTCCCACGGAGTCGGCACACTACAGCTGCCCTCAGGGCTCCCAGAACCCACAACATGAAAGGTACGGGGCCTCCTGCCACACCTGGGGTGGGGGGCACGTGAGAGGAGCTGAGTGGGACCTCACTCCTTCTCCGTCCGCAGAATGGTGCTACCCAGCTCAAGCCTGGGCCTTTGAATCCGGACACAAAACCCTCTAGTTGGAATCGAACACGCTGCACTTTACAACCACTGCACTACCTGACTCAGGAATCGGCTCCGGAAGGTGAGCACCAGCGCTCCTTCCGGAAGCCTCCAGCTCCCCGAGCACCCTGCCCCCACCCAACCCACGTGTCGCTATTTGCAGGTGAAGCTAGAGGAACAAGACCTCATCAACCCAACACCAAAGACGCCATTGGACCAGCAGCGCCCGCAGCACCCACCCCCCACCAGCGACTCCATCTTCATGGCCACCCCCTGCGGCGGACGGTTGACCACCAGCCACCGCGTCATCCCAGAGCTGAGCTCCTCCAGCGGGATGACCCCGTCCCCACCACCTCCCTCTTCTTCTTCTTCATCCTTCTGTCTCTTTGTTTCTGAGCTTTCCTGTCTTTCCTTTCTCTGAGAGATTCAAAGCCTCCCCGACTCTGTTTCCCCCGTCCCTTCTGAATTTAATTTGCACTAAGTCATTTGCACTGGTTGGAGTTGTGGAGACGGCCTTGAGTCTCGGTGCGAGTGTGCGTGAGTGTGAGCCACCTTGGCAAGTGCCCGCCCAGGGCCCGGCCGCCCTTCATCTGGGCTGGGTGACTGGGCGCCGGCTGTGTGCCCGAGGCCTCACTCTGCCCTCGCCTAGTCTGGAAGCTCCAACATCACGGGGCAACCTTCAAGCATTCCATTACGCCCCATCTCGCCCTGTGCCCCTCCCCACCAGGGCTTCAGCAGGAGCCCTGGACTCATCATCAATAAACACTGTTACAGCAACTTGTCTCAGGGACTCTGGAATCTGGGGCTGTGGGCCTGACGTGGGGGAGGCCAGCCTTGGGCAGAGGGGGGCTGGAGGGAGGGGCAGGGGGAGGAGTCCATGAAAAGGGGATGGGGGTTCCAGGGTGGAGGACTCGGGGATGGGTGCAGCACAGCACACACCAGGGGTGGGGTGAGCAGAGGGTGTGTGGACATCGGGGGCGCAGGGCAGGCGGTCAGCACGCAGTGATGGGGGTGGAGGGGCTGCAGGACCAGGGGCTCCACAGAGTGGGAGGGCCTGGGCTGGCGGAGGGGGCCCGGGTTCTGAGGCAGGGGTCAGGGACCACCAAGGCACCCCCAAACGAGTGCCTCCTGCCACCCCAAAGTCCCATCAGAATGACACCTTGGTGCTGGCCCCACACTCCTGAGGCTCAGACTAGGTGACTGGGAGAGGGCTGGCCATGCCACTCTGGGAGGCCCACAAGGTGCTCTGGGAGACCCCATCCCAAGAGGGACACGAACCCCTTGCCAGTCCCGTTCCTGCTCCCCTGTTGCTGTGGGTGGGAGCAGGGGCCACGCCGGAGGGACGGCCCCCACCCAAGGAGTCAAGGGGTGGGAGTGGGAGTGGGCAGGTGGCCTTGGGGCGGTGGTCCTAAGGAGGCCAGGGGGCCAGGGGGCCAGGAGGAAGGCGGAAGGAGTTGAGGGTGGCCACAGAGAGGAGGTGAAGGAGGGGCAGGAGGGCCTAGGGTGAGGGGCTCCCGAGATCTCTCCCTGGGGTCTTGCTGCTGGAGCCCCAAGAACCCTGGCATGCAGGGGTTTGCTTCCCGGGTGCCAAGGCAGCCCACTCACGGGTTCGGGGTCAGCTTCCCCACAGAGGCCAGCGGCCGGCAGCTCCCTCAGCCAGGCCTCCCAGCCCCCAGCCCCTCACTCTGCAGGCGCTGGGAACACAAGGGGCAGCCCCTGGAAATAAGGGTGGGGTCCCGGCCTCCCCATTCCTTCCCTCCTCCCCCCTGCCTTCCACCCCCATTCCCAGTGCACAGAGCTGTCAGGAAAATGCCTCCCCGACTGACAAAGAACAGACAGGAAGGCGGTTAGGGACGCCCCTCCCCTACCGGCCCAGCCGCCCTTGGGGTCTTGGTGTCCAGGGCGGAAGAGCAGGGTGGTTACCCACGCCCCTTGGGTCTGGCCTCCCCTCTGCACCCTCTCTTGCCCCGTCCCCATCCAGCTGTGGGCCCTGGGGTCTGTCAGAGACTGAGGGGTTTCCAGGGACACACTTGTGTGCTAAAACCTGGGCGGATGGTCACCCCCCAGGATGCACGTAGACATCCGGTGAGGCAGTTTCTTGAAGCCTCTGGGATGGTGCCTCTGGGACTGGCCGCCATCTCATGGAGGAGGTCAGAGGTCACTGGGGCCAGCCCAGGGTGAGGCCGCATTCATCTTCCTGACCCTACAGGCCAATCTGACTTACCCAAGTGGGTTTTGGCCGGCAGGATGAAGTAGCCCATCCATTACATGTCAAGAGTCAGGTCTATAAATGGCCTTTATTATAAACGCCCAACGCTACAGGAGGTTTACAAAGCGGGGCTCAGGAGATAAAAGCCAGCTTCCCCAGGTGGCGGCTGCAGGGCGCAGCAGGCAGCCCCCGGGGTGCCCGGGGTGGCGGGGCAGGGGACCTGTAGGGAGGGGGAGAGGGGCGCCTAGAGAACCTCACCTGGGGAACATGGAAGACTTTGCCCGCTTCCAATCCCTGCCTGGGGAAGGGCGCATGGGAATGGGGCCTCAGGCCTTCGTCACCTGCCTCAGCTCCTAGGGGCTGTCTCCTCCTGGTCACTTGGAGAGAACAGGCATGCTGGTCACATCCACACCTCTGGGCCCAGGAGTGTATGAATGACACATTTGCTCTGGAGTTTCCACCTGGGAGCTGTATGGGGACAGGGCTTCTCCTTCTCACACCGGATGGGGAAGGGACACAAGCCTCCTGGTGGCCCCCGCCATCTCCCAGCACTGCCCACGGCTGTGTCCACGCTGGCTTCCCCCTGAGAGCAGAACATGTACGCAGGCGCAGTGCCTACCTCTGGGCAGCCCATGTTCCTCTGCTCCCTGCAGCAGAACGGGCTTCCTAGGGCAGTTCCTGGGGTGGTGTCCCCACGGCAGCCCCTGAGTGCCAGAGAGGATCTTGGCCACCGGCCCTGAGACAGGGAAGTAGTGAGGGCAGCATTCTGGGGGCTGAACCTCAGAGTGAGGCAGGCAGGTGGGGAGCCACAGGCCTGGGGGCCCCTGCAGCAGGTGGTCAGCCTCGGAGCCTCCTGCCGCGCCCCGGGGCGGGGGCTGGGAGCCCGCCCAAGCCCCTAGCTCTGAACGACCTGCCAGGTTGGAATGTGTGTTTATCTTTGGCCCAACCCGATTTCCTGCTTTTTAGAAAAGGGGCTTAGAGAGGGTTGTTAGACAGGCTCTGGGCGCCCCGACACCCAAAGGCACTTTCAAAATGCCCCTGCACTGACTTCAGTGTGGAGAAGCAAACAGGGGCTGGAATTTCACTCCCGAACCCCAACATGGGGGTGGCGGGGCTGGGGTGGGGGTTGTGGCTGCCTGCGAAGGTGCTGGGAAATCTGGGGAGGGAGGAACTTCCACCATTCGGGGAGACCTCGAGGGTGCCCAGTCTTTTGGCCACATCCCTGACCCTGTCAGGCGCTGGGGTCTTCACACCTGGACCCTCCACCCACCCAAGTTTCTGTGGCACGTTTAGGTTGAGTGAAGATCAAGTCACCCAGTTAGAGAAGAGGATTCGAGGCGTGTGCTGCTGCTGTGGCCACGCTGGGCCCTCGGTGCACACATCTCCAGGCGAATCCCTGTGGCCCTGAGGGCCGCCGGATGGCCTGTGCAGCCATGCACTCCCGGGGCACAGGACCTCAGCTATCTTGTCACCAAGTGCGTGCATCCACAGCTGTGCGTCTGTGCCTGGGAGTGGGGTCTCCACTTGGCAGGTCTCTGCATGCTGACCAGTTAACCTGCCCGTCCGGGCTGCGGACGGTGTGGGTCCTGTCCGGCCCGGAGATGCTCCGCGGGGCGTGTGTGTGATCGTGGCCCCGTAGTGGGGTGGTGTTCCCTGGAGGGTGGACCCCTGAGCCTGGCTGTGTGTGTCTTGTGCCTTTGTGTGGGTTCGTGTCTTGGCATGAATTCTGTGACCCAGGAGCACGTTTTGAGGCAGGGATTAGGAGCAGCTGGGGATGGGATGGAGGCAGGGCACTTGGTATACCATTGAATGAAGACAGAAAATCCCAATTCTACGAAGGAAGTAAAGTTCTTTAAACAGGGATGAAGCGACGTTTGGGGTCTGACTATGATGCACCCTGGGAAGTCTCAAAGAAAACAGTTGGGGCCCCAAGGAGGGCAGCCCCCTCTCCCCGACCCTGAGCTCCCGGGAAGATAAATGATTTCCTTCTCTCTAGACATGGTGTGGGATCTGAGCACTCAGAGCTAAGGGTGCAGTGGGTCCTGGCGGGGGCCCTCCTCGGCCCTCCCAACATGGGGGCCAGGAGGTCAGCCCCTCAACCGGACCCCAGCTGGGTCTCAGGGAATGGTGTCCCACAGCGGCCCAGCTTGCTCGTGTTTTCAGGCGGGTGTGCCCGTGTGTGTGTGTGTGCGTGTGTGTGTGTGTGCGCGTGTGTGTGCGTGTGTGTGTGCGTGTGCGTGTGTGTGTGTGTGTGTGCGCCCGTGTGTGTGTGTGTCCGTGTGTGTGTGTGCGCGTGTGTGCGCGTGTGTGTGTGTGTGCGCGTGTGTGTGTGTGCGCGCGTGTGAGATGCCTGACAAGCCCCAGAGAGCCAAAGACCTGAGTAGAGATCTTGTGACTTCCCAAAAGGGGGACTGGAAGGTTCAAGAAGGAGCTGTGGTCAGCCTCGCTCTCCCCTGAGGCTGCAGTAACCACACTAGGCATAGCCCAGGCCTGCGCCCCATCCCTCCTTCCCTCCTCCGCGCCTCTCCTTTCTCCTTCTCCCCGCTCTGCCCCGCTCCCCAGCCTGCTCCTGGTGACACCGTTGGCCCCTTTCCAGGGCTGAGGGAAGCCAGCGGGGGCCCCTTCCTGGAAGACCACCTGCAGGCCGGCTTGCTGGGAAGGGGCTGCGAGGCGGAGGCTCCCGCCCGCCCTGCAGCCGTTTCCTGGAAGCAGTCGCTGTGGGTATTCTGTTCCTTGTCAGCACTGTGCTTGCAAAGAAAGCAGACACTGTGCTCCTTGTCCTTAGGGAGCCCTGCTCCATCACCCAACACCTGGCTGGACACAGGCGGGAGGCCGGGTCCGCGGGGAGCGGCGCGGGGCTGGGGCCGGACCAGTAAACACACACGGGCGCCAGGCGCTGAAGGCTCCTCCTCCTCCTCCTGCCCGGTGCCTCTGCTAACAGGCACGTGCCAAGCCCCTAGGCTGGGAGACCCAGCAGTGGGTGCACAGCAAGCTCCTGGGAAGGGGATGCAGGGCGGACCCCCAGGGAGAAGGGCTGGCAGGGCTGTAGGGGACACTGACCATGGGCCCCACATTGCAGAAACCTGACTGCCTGGTTGCAAGTCGGGGGAGATGCCAAGGCTCTGAGGCCGCAGGAGCAGGGTGCATGAAGGCTGGCGTGCGGGGAGGCCGCAGAGCAGCATGTACCCCGAAGCCCGGGGGGAGTGGAGACCAGGCCATGGAATCGAGGAGTAGAAAGGTGGCTTGGAGGCCTCAGAACCGGCTGACCTCCAACAGAGAGAGGGGTCAGCCCCGGGGGCAAAGAGGTGCCCAGGGTCCAGCCCTGCCTGGAGGAGCAGCGTATCATAGGCAACCACAGGATATGTAGCCAGCTCTGAGCACACGGACCCATGGGCAGGGCAGGGCAGGGCAGGGGAGACAGACAGGGGAGCAAGGAGCAGAGAGGGGGCCTCGGGCTCTCCCGGGAGGTACATTCTCCCAACAGGAGGAAGAGACGGCCCAGGGGTGACTGTGGAGAGCCATGGTGGCAGCTGGGGTTGTGGCAGATGGAAGAGAGGCTGGCGAGGTGAAGGCTCTGGGGCCCACATGCCTGTGGGAGCGGGCAGGCCCAGGGCTCTCTGCCACTCCCCACTCCCACTTGGCTCACAGGCTGGGCCCAAGGGTGGGGTGGGATGAGTAGGAGATGGGGCCCGGGGGGAAGCAGGGCCCCAAAGGACATTTAGAAAAACCGGTTTATTACGCAGGCGGCATTTAGAGCATGTAGCGTGCATGGCGGCGGCCCTGGGAGCACAGAGAGGCACATGCAGGGCCCCCGAGGGGCTCCCCATTGGCCGGTAGTGACATCACCCCTGTGTCAACACTGTGATGTCTGTACCTCCGGCCAGCCAGGGTTTATGGAGCGAGACTCAGCCCGGCCTGGGCCCTCACTCCCCAGGCCCACACACTAGCCCACTGTTCAGGGTCTGGGGTGGTGGCACAGCCTGGGGGTCCTGGCACCACTGCTCCTCTGCCCACCCCAACTTCCCGGCATGGTGGCTGCCCCCTTTGGGCATCCCCAACCAGAGAGCGTGGAGCCTGCAGGCCTGCCCTCCTCCTCCTTGTCCCTCTAGCGAGAAACTTGGAGGTCCTGGGGCTGGGGCACTCACAGCCCTGTGGCATAGGTACATGGGGTCAGGGGGCCCAGAATGGCCTCTGGGAAGGGCCTCAGGTAGGCCAGCGGCTCTGGAGGTGCTTCAGGGGTCTGTCTGCACAGGAGCTAGCCCCTCCCAGACCTCTGTGAAGCCAGTACAGGCCTCCCCTCCCTGCCCTGAGCTCTGTCTGGTGCTGCCTGGACTGCACCGTGGGCCACGGGCGAGAGGGCGGACAGGGAAGGGCCACCGTGATGGCTGTTTCTGCCCACCTGGCTGTGGGGGCCTCTCCAAGTAGGGACAACCCTTCTGAGGGCTTGGGGGCACCCTGGGGTTGCCAGGGCCTCCCGGAACCCTGCGAGCCCCTCGGGGGTCTGGCCTGATGCCCCCCTCCACGTCCAGGGCAGGCAGTGGCCCAGAACCCCAGCTTCCCAGCAGGCCAGTGTGCAGTGGTGACCCAGGAGGGGCCTCACCTCCACTGAGGGGCCACCAACCTCTGCCAGGCCACAGAGACCCCGAGGAGTCTGAAGGTTGGAGACCCGGGGCTGGGACCAGATGGCACTTTCCCACAGAGCCGTCCCCAGTCCCAGCTGGGGACACGTCCCCCTTCTCTCCAGACACACCCTGCCTGCCACCATGGCACATCGGCCTGGTGGGGTCTCTTAAGTGCTTGCCACTCTGAGGTGACTGTCCCTTTCCAAAGAGGTTTCTGAGGCCCAGGTGGGATGTGTCGGCCTGAGCAGGAGGATCTGGGCCCCCTGGGGGCCGGGGACTGTCTCCTGGGGGAAGGAAGTGCCTGGGAGCATGTGTGCTGACCCGGGACCGTCCAGGGAGGCCCGTCTGTGGGGCAAGCGGGAAGGGAGCTGCTGGAGAGGCTTGGCTGCCCCCGCCCTGCCTCCCATTCCTTAGCTCCATGCCTGTCAACCTCTGTCACCCAGTGAGTGATGTCCAGGGGCCCTGGAAAGGTCACAGCATGTTTGAGCAGGGTGAGAGAGAGGGGAAAGGCGGGGGCGGGGAAAAGGACGTGGAGGAAGCTCTAGGCCCCAGGAAGGAGAAAGGGGTCTGGGAGGGAGGGAGCCCCTGGGGCCGCCAGGAGGGTCCCTGCCTGCTGCTGCCACCCGGAACCCTCTTCTTAGCTAGCTCCCACGGCCCCAGCCTTTCTGGCCTGTGCTCCCCTCCCCCATCCCCAGCCCTCCTGTGCAACCAGGCCTTGGACCCAAACCATCCTGTCCCCTCCTCTGCTCACCCTCCCCATGCCGTGGTCTCCATGGGTCAGAGCTGCAGCCTGGCTCTGCCCTGCCGCGGGTCCCCTCCCCTCATCCCAGGCCTAGAGCCTCCAGTCCCGGTGGCCCCCTGCCTGAGGGTGAACAGCCTCACCCTGGGTCGTGGGACAGAGGGCACGTTCACCAAGAGAGGCTCCCAAGGGACACGTGGCTGTTTGCAGTTCACAGGAAGCATTCGAGATAAGGAGCTTGTTTTCCCAGTGGGCATGGAGCCAGCAGGGGGGCTGTGGGGCAGCCCAGGGTCAAGGCCAGGCTGTGGGGCTGCAGCTGCCTTGGGCCCCACTCCCAGGCCTTTGCGGGAGGTGGGAGGCGGGAGGCGGCAGCTGTACAGCGGCCCCAGGCGAGGCTCTCAGCCCCAGTCGCTCTCCGGGTGGGCAGCCCAAGAGGGTCTGGCTGAGCCTCCCACATCTGGGACTCCATCACCCAACAACTTAAGACTGAATTTCAAGTGTTCTGTGACTTGGGCAGACACAGCCCCTGCCCGAAGGGATTGCCAGCCTAAGACAGTGGGGACAACGTGGGTGGCGGGCGATGGGGGAGACAGACAACAGGACTGAGGGTGTGCAGGACACTCATGTCACTCGTGCACACCCATGGGGGGCATAGGAGGCTGGGGAGCAGATAGACTGGGCTGGGCTGGGCGGGAAGGACAGGCAGATGGGATCCCAAGGACATAGAATTTCAGACCTTCTGCCCCTGCACTCTCTGCTGAGCCTAGGAACCTCTGAGCAGCAGGAAGGCCTTGGGTCTAGAGCCTAGAATGGACCCCACCTTCACCTGCCCAGCCTAGGCCCCCGGCATTGAGGGGTGGTCAGAAAAAGCTACCCAGACTTCCTGTGGGAGGAAGCCACTAAGCAGGATGGACACCATCGCCCACTCCACCCAGCCCTGCCCAGCACAGCCCTGCCCAGCCTAGCCTTGCTCTGCCCAGCCCTGCCCTGCCCTGCCCAGTCCAGCCCTGTCCAGTCCAACCCTGCCCTGCCCAGTCCAGCCCTGCCCAGCCATGCCCAGCTCTGCCCTGCCCTGCTCAGTCCAACTCTGACCAGCCCTGCCCAGTACAGCCCTGCCCAGCCATGCACAGCCCAGCCCAGCCCTGCCCAGCCCTGCCCAGCCCTGCCCTGCCCAGCTCTGCCCAGCTAAGCCCTGCCCTGCCCTACCCAGTTCTGCCAGCTCAGCCCAGCCCTGCCCTGCCCAGCCCAGCCCTGCCCTGCCCTGCCCTGCCCAGGTCTGCCCAGCCCAGCCCAACATGACTTCTCTGGCTGGAGAGCACAGGCTTGGCCTTAGAAAGAGGCTGGCAAGGAGGGCCGAGGCCACCAGGCCACTGCATGCTCACAGGTCAGACAAGCTCAGAGCCTGCTCCCCTGCCACCCGTCAGAGCTGTCACTGCCAACATGCTGTGGATATACGTGGCCTCAGGGCTGCTGGCTCCAGGCTGCCCCCGCCCCAGCTCCCGAGGCCACCCCTCTTATGCCATGAACCCTGTGCCACACCCACCTCTGAGCTGTCCCCACTCCTGCCTCCTGCACCCCCTTGAGCAGCCCACTGTGTGTTTCATGGGTGTCTCAGCAAGGAAGGGAAGCTCTGCAATCTTGCCAGTCAGGGTGCTGTCGACTGAGTAAATGCCCCTGTGCTGTGCCCGAATGTCCCCATCCTTTTGCAAACGACCGTCGGCCTGCCACCTTCCCAGTGGGTGCCTGCCACCGACCAGGATCCTGCACTCCCATGCGGTGGGAGAGGCAGACCCGGGCTCACCTCAGCCTCCCCACAAGCCAGGGAGAGGGGCTGCCCAATGGCGGGAGGCCCCCATGGGTCCCAAATGGCAGCTGCCCACACTCCTACCCAGGAACTTTGTCTGTGACAAACAATAAGGAATAAGGAAGGGAGTGAGAAAGAAGGAAGGAAAGGCGGTGGGAGGCGTTGCGGGTGGGGGAGGATGTTTGGAAAGTTCCAGAAAAGAGTCACTTCACCAGAAAGGCCAGAAGCTCCCCGCGCCCCCCAGCGCCTGCTCGGCTCCGAGGTGAAGGGATGGGAGCGTCGAGGCGGGCGTGGGTGCCAGCTGTTCTGCGTGGGTCTGTTTCCTTCAGCTCCTTTCCGGGCCTCGCCCTCCTCTTCCCGCCACACATACACTTTTTTCCTTTTTAAATTGTTTTATTTGGGGCCAGGTGAGGTGGCTCACACCTGTAATCTCAGTATTTTGGGAGGCCAAGGTGGGCAGACAGCTTGAGTCCAGGAGTTGGAGACCAGCCTGAGCAACACAGTGAGACCCCATCTCTACCAAAAACCAGTCAGGCGCAGCGGCAGGCACCTGCATCCCCAGTTCTGTGGGAGGCTGAGGCGAGAGGATCGTGTGAGCCCAGGGTGTTGAGGCTGTAGCAAGCCATGATCGCACCACTGCACTCCAGCCTGGGCAAGAGAGTGACACCCTGTCTCAAAAAAAAAAGAAGTAGAAAAATTTATTTTTAAAAATCGATTTAACACTTGAATGCTACAATTGTCCAAGGAGGAGCAGAGAGCCCGTGTCAGACAGCCTGAAGCCTGATCGTCTGCGATCAATGGCCCTGCTGCCAGCTGTGTGTGGCAGTTTGGCCTGGCCTGATGCCACTGTCCTTCTTGGCACCAGCTCACAGTCCGTGCCCATAACAGATATGGAGCACCCAAGGAAGGGCAGACCCAGCCCCCACCTGCCCTGGGTCTGAAGATCTCCCAGGAGGTGCCATGGGGTGCCTTGGGCGGGAGGGGCTGGCCGATAGCCTTGAGGAAGTGGCACGGATATGCAGAGAAGGGCATGTCCCAAACTCGGGGGCACTGTGGCCTCCAGCTGCCAGGAGACAGGTGTGCTCTGACCACCAGAACTGCAGGGCTATGACAGCAAGCCGGACTAGGGGAGACGTCTCTGCTCAAGTGCATATTTGCCTGATGGCGACTGCTCTCGGGTTCGTGGGTTCCAGGCTCTGCCCCGGTGCCTCATGCAAACGGGTCCCATTCTACAGATGAGGAAACTGAGGCACAGGGTGATTACGGCTGTCCCTGAGCTCCTGCAGCCAGGAAGGTGACACACCAGGATATGCTCCCAGGCTGCCCGCTGGGCTCGGTAACATAGTCTCAACTGCCCTGTGACACTGTGTGTGTCTGTGCTTGTGGGGAAGGCGACCAGAGGCCCCCTTTCCTCCACGCGGTGAGCCTACCAGCAGGGAGACAGTCCTCAGGTGTGAGGATGAGCCTCGTTGTAGGCACAGAGAAACAGGAGGAACTTTCTAGAAGGTGAAGGTTCCCATGGCTGGGACTCTTGGAGAAGGTCAGATCTCTGTCTGTCCACTCCTGCCCACTCCCCAGCACAGACAGAGCGAGCAGGACAGAGGGTTCAAAGTCCCAGGATACCGCAGAGCTCAAAGGAGGGCAGAGAGCACCGCCCCGCCTGGGCGCCGGGGGAAAGGTGGGCGGGGTGCTCAGGGGCCCCTGGCGGTCCTGAAGTTTGCCTCAGAGAGGTGTGGGCTTCTCCTCCCTCCCACACACAGTGTCTCTGAGGATGAACTGCCGTGTGCCCTGCGGGGATGCCATGTCCTGCTGTGTGCCCCGTGGGGATGCCACGTCCTGCCGTGTGCCCCGCGGGGATGCCGTGTCCTGGCCCTCGCTGGGCGCCTCTGGGACGAGGTCAGCTGAGCCTGCCGTCCTGACTCAGAAACACCATCTAACTCCCTAAGTCCCTTCTCAGTGAGACGGGGGGTCTTGCACCCACCTCCCAACCCCCACGCACCTGAGGAGGTCCCCGTTCCCCTACTCGCTGGCTCCACCACGTTCCACGCATCCTACCTGAGGGACAGAGGGGACTGTGAGATGATCCTCAAGGCTGGTTTTCCTCTTTCACCCAGGACAGGCCCCAGCAAATTCTCACCTCCAGAGGCCAGGTCTGCCCTGCAGGACTTAGGAAATACAGCCCTACTTCCATCCAGCACACCGACCCAAGAAAGTGCCTCAGAGCCCTGGGGCCTGGGGGGCCTGGCCTTGGTCTCAAGGCGTCAGCTCCACCTGGAAAGGAGTGAACTCAAACCAGGACGCCCCATCTCCACGGCGGAAACGGTGCTGCCGGCTGCTCCCTCCTGGGGACTCTGGGCCTGGAGCTCCTGTGGGAGTTCGGGGGATAGCTGAGTCCCACGGAGGTGCCCCTCTCCTCCCCGCCCAGTGGAGCTTGGGGTGGGGGCAGGCGAAGACAAGGCAGGAAGCATGGGGCATTCCCCCTCCCCACAGCACTGAGAAACCAGGGGAGCATCCAGAAAATGGCGCCCACAGGCACCAGCTTCAGGTGACCCTAGCCCAGCCAAAGACCCCGGGCCAGTGTGTGCCACAAAGCCCATGCCGGCTTTGCTGCTTTGCCTGCTCCCTCCTGCCTGGGACCACCGTGGCGAGGGGAAGGGAGAGTGGTGGCCCTCTCCTGACTCCTGAGGCCTGTGGTCCAAGCTCCCAGCCCTCAGGCAGGCCAGGGTCCAGACACTGCTGCCCCAGACACACCCCCCAGTTCCAGCCCACAGGCTTCCTGCAGGATCCCTTGGTGCACCTGGGGGCAAAGCACAGTGAGCAGGAGTGCAAAGAAGCTTTGTCGGGAGGGCGGTCCCCACCACCCTTGGACCCCCGGGTGGTCCCTGGGGTCCTGGGATGGACCCTGGGAGGGACGGTGCAGGGGCTGCTTTTTGCTCCAAGAGGACAAAGTGCCACATTGCCTCCGCAGAGGGCTGCCGAGCTGGGAGGACCCACAGTGCAAGGCCGCACAACCCCCCCAGGAAGCCTCAGAGCCCTCAGGTTCCAAGCCGAGGCTGTGGGCGGGAACCCCTGTGCGAGCCTTCTGGAAGAAAAACCTCACAGCTCCGGCGGAGGAGGGTCCCACCCGCTCCCAGAGCCCAGCGTGTAAGGGAGGGGTGGTGCCCACATGAGGCCCAGGGAAGGGTTGCGGCTGGGACGCCCCCTCACCGCCCCCAGATATCCCAGGCAGCCCTTCCCTCCACAGAGAGACCCACTGGGCCTGACCCTGCCCTGGGCACAGGGTTGAGCCAGGGATGGCCCGTGGGAGAAAGACGGCTTCAGGGGCCACTGGCCGGGCCAGGCGGGTCCTTCCCCAGTTCTGGGTGGCAAATGGGGTGAGGCCAGAGCCTTCTGGCCAGGGAAGACACTGGCCTGACTGGTGTGGCACGGGCAGCAAAGGAGGGTCAGAGGCCAGTCTGGCCTGGAAGAGTCTCCAGCCACCTGGACGGGGGTGGCCAGGCCTGGTCCCTGCCCCCACTCTCCCAGGGGTCGGGGCAGCCGGGCAGAGCCAGTAAGTGTTTGTTTTCAGATGACATTTGTAAAGAAAAACAGCCCTCCCACTCTGCTTGACCCGGTGTCTGGAATGTGGGGAGGCAAACAGCTGTACCCTTCCCAGACCCTGCACAGCCCCTGGTGGGGGCAGGGCCCTGGTGGGGGCAGGGCCCGGAGGTGCAGCCTGGGGAGGCACCGGCCATCGTGGTCAGGGCGCGGCAGCCAGGCTCCTGGCTCTGTTCCGGGCCTCACTGTGTCCCCAGTGGGGTGCCGCCACCTCCCCCCGAGCCTGGGCCCCGCCGGTCAGACACCCGCAGGGACAGCTTGTCTTGGCTAGCTGGCTACAGCACCTCGCTGGAGTCCAGCAGACACAGGCTCCTGTGCGCACGCCGCGCCCCAGGCCAGCCCTCACGCCACTGCCCCTGTCAGACCCCTGCCTGCGGTGGGCTGCTGTCTGCCTTGGCCTGCCCCAGCTCTCTCCGCGCCCTTGCCTCCAGGGAGTCCCCCTGGAGGACTCCAGCCACCCAAGCTCAGCAGGGCCAGCCCGAGCCCCTGCCCCACCCGGCCTGTGTGAAGGGTCCTCAGTCCCCTGATCCCCCAGACCCTCCAGGCTGGGTCCCTGGGGCTGGGGGAAAGCCGGCTCCAAGGTCCCTGGCCTGGATGATTTCCGGGAGGCCCGTCCCCTGCCACGTGCCTGGTGACCCTTGCTCCTGCCTGGCTGCCCGTGGTCCTCTGTGCGACCCCCACCCCCAGCCCAGGAACTGGACAGGAGACTCTGAATGGACGACAGCAGAGCCATCCGAGGGCTGCCCCTGACCCTGGCCCTGACCCTGCCCTGGAGCCTGGTTTCCAAATCTTGCCTCATGCTTTCGCCAGACCCCCTTGGCCCCTTCCCCTGACCCTGGAATGCCCCTGGGGCTTCCTGGAAACAGCCCCTCCTTTGCTTACTATTGGGTGCCAGACCTCACCAGCACCGACCACCTGAAGGTGCGGGGACATCCCCCCATTCCCTCTCCTGGGGGTCCCATCGCCAGTTCCCTGTGGGCAGGATATCAGAAGAGTTCTCTGCGCAGGTCCTCCGCCCCTTCAGGCACGGGGGAGGGCGGCTCAGGGACCAGCGGCAGATGTCGGTGCCTGCCCCTGCAGCGGGGTGCCCTGTGCTGAGACAGTGCGCACGGGGGACACTCCGGGCCTTGGTCCACTGTCCATGTGGCAAATGAGGTGCTCTGCGGGGCTTCTAAACTCTTCACCCTGGCCTCCCCATGGGTCCCTTCCCTTCTCCTTGGGGCCCTGGCCCCAGGTCCCCAAGGCCTGGACCTGCCTCTGCCACCCTCAGAGCAAGGATGCGCTGCAGAGGGAAAGGGGCTGCGACTCGGCCCCAGAGCTCCGGCTTCCCGTCTCCCAGCCCACAAAGCACTAAAGTCCCTAGGTCCTGGGACATCAAAGGCCCAGGAAGCTCCTTGTGCTGAGTTAAGCGTAGTGGGGCAGACGCATGTAGCTGGCATTTCCCACATTTACAGCTGCTCTGCTACGGGCTGGGAATCGGCTTCCCCTGCACCCCGGTCATCCCTTGTCCAGAGGGACCCGTGGGAAGGCCAGGGTGAAGAGTTTAGAAGCCCCGCAGAGTACCTCATTTGCCACAGGGAGGGTGGACTGAGGCCCGGAGTGTCCCCTGTGCATGCTGTCTCAGCACAGGGCACCCCGCTGCAGGGGCAGGCACCGACATCTGCCGCTGGTCCCTGAGCCACCCTCCCCTGTGCCTGAAGGCCCAGCACTTCGAGGGCTGCCTGGGCTGAGGACCTTCGCAGAGAACTCTTCTACACCCCACGGAGGAGGCTGAGGGGTAGAGGCAGCTGCGGGAGCCCCAGGGCCACCAAACAGGCACGGCTGCCCCTCTCCTCTGTGGGTGCAGAAAGCTCTTAAATGGTGGAAAAGCAAGGCATGGCCGCCTTTCACAGGCACTGCTCAGAAGGTTCCAGAAGGAGACAATGGCATGGAGGGAGCAGGGCCCAGGCTGGTGGGGGCGCAGGGATGAGGCCAGTGAAGGCCACGGGTCGGGGGGGCGGTGCCCAGAAGCCAACGACCCCATCCTTATCGCCTGTGTCTCTCTGCACACAGCGTCTCGTCTGCAAAGTTAGCTGAGCAAACGCCAGGAGCCAAGGGTCGAGGCAACGCCATCCGTGGGGCCACTCCACACCCCCTCTGCCGGCCCCACCAAGACCTGCTTTCTTGGTTGAAATCCAACTCACAGTCTGCCCCCGGGGGCCCAGCAGCCCTGCCCACTGGAACAGCTGCACCCACAGTGCCCAGCTTCCCAGGGCGACAGGGGCTGGGTGAGCCTTCCTGTCCCCACTGGAGTATGGCCGGAGTGATTTTCTGCTTCTGCTGCAGACCATCCCGGGCCTGGTGGGAGCAGCTGTAATCGCATTATCCCATTATGCCTCCACCAGGCACTGGGATGGGGACAGGGCTGCAGGATACGACTCCATTTACCTATCGCCAGTGGAGCCCTGGGGGCTCTCCTAGGTCCATGGGGAGGGGTGGCCATCTCTTTAGGCCCAGGGACCCCAGGACAGGGGTAGAAAAGCACAGGAGAATTAAGGAGTTAAGGCCAGAAGGGGCCAGTCCGGCCAAGTGCAGCAAAGCTGTACACCGGTGGCCAGGGCATGACTGAGGGGCTGTGTGGGGAACAGAGGAGGCGCCTCGAGCCCCCCGGCCGCTCCAAGCAGCTGCTTATCTTACCCAGGCCCATGCCCGTGATGAGCTGTGTGACTACTTCCAAGATCAGTCAGGAGGCTCGGCCCGGGGGCCCGCGCAGTGGTCGGGAGGCTCGGCCCGGGGACCATGCAGACCTAACAGCTCCAGCCCCGAGGCAGGGCAGTTGTGCTCCAGAGGGCTCCCACGGCCACGCTGTTCCTCCCAGGTGGACACCCTCGTGGCACGTACACCCCTGCTCTCAGCCCTCTCCTTCACTGGATGGAGAGACTCAGGATCCCCAGAGGTGGGTGGCGGGCAGAGGAGGTGGAGCTGGTCTGAGATGCAAGAGGTGGCCCATGGATTCTAGGAGCAACCGGCGACTTCCGAGGTCCCCCACCCACTCAACACACGTTCCCAAACCCCATTTTACAGATGAGGATGAGAGGCCCAGCACAGGGGCCCATGTCTCTGTCACCAGGCAAGGTCGGGGGGATCTAGGGCCAGAATCTGGCTTCCCGCTCCGGCCGGGGGTCAGAGGTCTCCGGTTGGCAGCCGAGGCCAGCGGGACACAGGCTGAGGGATGGGGACAGCTGCTTTCTCGGCACAGACAAGGCTCCCCTCCTCATGCTGCAGACCCCGGCTGCCCCATCAGTCACGGCCCACCCAGGACCGTGCAATCATCCCCCACTTCTCCTAATCCTCCTGCCAGCTTCTTCCCAAGAGTCCAAGCAGTTGGATGCATTTTCTAAATTCTCAGGCCACTGCTGTTTCCTCCTCAAATTCCTTGCCCCCCACCCGCGGCCCCCTCCCAGCCATGGGAAAGGACTGCTGCGGCCTCCCCACAGGCCCAGGAACGGGCGGGGCTGCGTCCAGGCAGCTGTGAGTACTGGGACCCAGGGGTAAGAGCCCCGATTACAGAGGCGTCATGGGAAAGCGGCGAGGGGAGGCCACCCAGAGCCCCCACCACAGCCCCGCTCCACGCCCTCCCTGGATCTCTGGCCCTGGAGAGAATCAGATGGGACCCCCAGCAGCAGTCACTTGAGCCCCCCTGCCACTGGCTCTGCTGAGGATGCCCATTGGGCCATGCTGTGGCCACCTGGCATGGAATGTGGGCACCAAGGTATCGGCCCAGATTCCTACCCATCAGGGCACCAGCATAGGGCCGAGCCAGTGCCACAGAGCCCCCGGGCTGCACGGACATGTCCTGCACGTACCACAGACCGGGAGGGAGGGGTGCTGCCCAGGGCTCTGTGCCCTCCCAGAAAGGGCTACAGTGGGGCTGATTGTCAGGTGGTGGCTCTGACGCAGGAGAGGACAGATGGATAGAGCCCGAGGGCAGCCTGGCCAGGTGCACACAGTGGTGGCTATGACGCCTTCTCCCACGGCTGTCGCTCTGGGTCCAGGAGTGATGATCTCCAGGCTCCAGAGAACTAGAAACAGCCGGCAGGCTCGCTGCTGATAACCGGGCCTTCTCCACCTGGTGGGGAGTGATGAGGCAAGACCGGATGGCGGGCCCCAGGCCTCCCCTCTCCTGGGACGGCCAGCTCTCCTCGCCTGTGCACGTCTCAATACGTCCATGATTACGCAACCAGCCCTTATCGCTGGATGTGAAGATCTGGAGGCCAGGCGGGGCCCTGAGGCCACAGCCTTCCCGCATGGGTGAGCGGTGAGCTGTGCAATTAGCCCTCAGGCCATCCTCACCAGGCCCTGCCTTTGTTCCTCCACCTGCCAGGCAACATCCGCTGGCGGTCTCCCACAGCCTGGCCAGCCTGCTCTTTCTCCCTCCACTCTGACCCCTTCCTCCTCGGGGCCCTGACATGCGGCTGTCTGGCACCCATTTTCAACTACTCTTTTCTTTCTTTTGAGTTTCACTCTTGTTGCCCAGGCTGGAGTGCAATGGCACGATTTCGGCTCACTGCAACCTCTGCCTCCCAGGTTCAAGCAGTTCTCCTGCCTCAGTCTCCTGAGTAGCTGGGATTAGAGGCATGCACCACCACACTCAGCTAATTTTGTATTTTTTGCAGAGACAGGGTTTCACCATATTGGTCAGACTGGTCTTGAACTCCTGACCTCAGGTGATCTGCCCGCCTCGGCCTCCCAAAATGCTGGAATTACAAGCGTGAGTCACCGCACCCGGCCTTCTTTTCTTTTTTCCTGCCCTCAACTATCCTTTTCATTAAAGAATTGAGAATTCTCTCCCCTGCCTGCCAGGATGGAACCCAAAACCACGTAGCCAGTGGGCCTGCCCGAGCTGCAGCCCTGCGCCTGTCCCCGACAAGTCACCCTCCGTTTTCCATTCCATCATCCTCTCTCTGCACCTCAAGCACCGTGACCCCTCTCCTGCCTGACTGACCTCTCCGTCTCCA